GGAAACCTTTAAAGTTCAGTAAAAAACCTATTTTTTTTAGAGTGTACTACAGTAGATGTTTTACAGCTAAAATAAACTAAAGATACATTATAGTCAACTTCACTTAAATAGTTTCGAAGAGTAATAGTCCGTTGAGAGTTCAGGATATCTTCATAAACAGAAGATGGCCCAGAGTACTTTTTATACTCTCTATATTCTATCACTATAACTTTTCTAATACTCTTTCATTTTTTAAGAAACATTGGTAAAAGAACCGAATGACAGTATATTATACAAATTAAAACATTATTTTTTAACATTCAATATCTTTCCATCTGTTCCACCAACTACCGATGAACATCAACTTCGAAATCAACGCATTTCAACAAGATTATTTATCTTTTTATTAACTATATCGTTATCTATCCTTCTCTTATATACTTCATTAATAAATATTACACAAACAGTTGATGTCAAAGCACCCTCTATCAAACAATATGAACAACTCTATAACTCATATAGTCAAACATTAGCATGTGAATGTACACAAAAATCAATCAACTATGAAAAATTTATTCAAATCCAATACACATTACATCAAGTATGTCACAGTGATTTTATTACACAAGACTGGATCGAATATCTTGCTACCTCGTCTGGACACAATGAGCTAAATTACATTGACTTTCGAGCGACAAGTACATTTACATTTCAAACTCTGAATGCATCCTGTACACTAGTGAATCAAACGATACTGAATCGTTTAATTCAGTTCAATTCAAATCAATATGTAAGTGCATTTGTAACACCTTCAGATGTATTTAAACTACAAGCTGATGCATTTATATCTCAATTTAAATTAGCAACAACTAATGAGTTTTTGTTATCACTCTCCATGATACGAAACACAACTCAGAGCAATGCTTTACTCTCTGGAGAACTAAATAATTACAACTTCTCTATAGACCTTGACATCACTCGGTATCCATCTTCATATCCACGTCAATACGGTAATTGTACATGTTCTTCCTCAGCTATATGCATTACTCAATTTCCAATTTACGATGTAGTCAACGATGATAAGATATTATTCTTTGTTCCAGGTCTTTATACAGGATGTTATATAATTGAATCACTACTTCAGTCTGATCTGCAATGTTTTTATAGTCAGACATGCATCAATAAACTACAATCATATTTTCAAGTATCTTCACTTATGAATGTGACAGCTCTTGATATATCATTGTCGAGTCAGTTTTTGGAAAACTCAACAATTGCAGATATTCTTGACCGATTGATGGTTGAAGAATGGAAGAATTCAAGCATGTATGAGAGTTATTACAATGAATGCAAACCATCACACTGTAGTTATACTATTACGACAAAGAATAGTGCAATATACATTATTACAACCGTGATTGGATTAGTTGGTGGTTTGATTACAGTATTGAAATTTATAGTACCATATTTAGTCATGTTGGTTAGAAGAAAAAAGGCAATCCGAAGAGCAGAGACCGGTAAGATCAAATTAGAAATAGTTTTGTGTATATAATAGAAGGTAATAATGTGAGAAGTAAACATTTATTTTTAGCTAAACAACGCACTGATATCATTAATGTTTTTACTTTTATTGAACTTCCGACTCGGAAGTTCGGAGACATTATGGCATAATTTATGAACATATGAGTCAGAGTAAAAATTGAGATATATATCCCATTATTAATAGAGTACTTTGTGCTAATTGTTCATTTCTGCTAAGCAACTTTATCATATGAACTAAATAGTTTAAATTTCTTGATCTTCTGCAAAGTTAATGAAGATTTGAACTCTGAGAAAAGTATACAAGTTTGACATCATATATAAAGTCTCTTTCAGATATAGTTGCAATATTACATTAGCAAGTTTAACAAATATATTTTTTAAGAAAAATATCGACGATCTATTCTCTTCTTTATCTCTGCACTTCTTTGAATGATCTGTTTTTTCTAGCTTTCTTGTTTTATTCTTTATGAGTATGTAGACATCAATCGAGAATAGATTTCAAAATAAGCATTTCGCTATTCAATTCTGCCGTTTATTTGATTTTGGAAGCAATCAAAAACATCATCATATCGTAGTAAATAATTGAAACCAGTGTAATTTGAGCATTTTTCATGAGCTATTTTTTCAGTGTGCGTGAGAGTGAGTTTATGGATGCGGGTGAGAGCGATGAATGTAATATTCACATTTTTACTCAACCATTCGTATCGTTGTCTTACACGTAATATCTGTTGTAATCTATGAAGTGCAGAAAGAACAATCAACTTGTTAGCTCTATACATCAAAACCCTTTAGAATTTATTTCCACAGAAAAAAATCACTTATTTCTTCCATATATAAACTAAATACTTATTTACATAATTCTTTTCAAGTAATGAGCATCAATGAACGTGTTCGAGCATTATGCCAGAAAACAAAGCAATTACTTTTAAATCTCAACATCTTTCCATCTGTTCCACCAACTACCGATGAACATCAACTTCGAAATCAACGCATTTCAACAAGATTATTTATCTTCACATTAATTGTATCATTATCTATTCTTCTCTTATATATTTCATTAATAAATATTACACAAACAGTTGATGTCAAAGCACCCTCTATCAAACAATATGAACAACTCTATAACTCATATAGTCAAACATTAGCATGTGAATGTACACAAATATCAATCCACTATGAAAAATTTATTCAAATTCGATATACATTACATGAAATATGTCATAGTGATTTTATTACACAAGACTGGATCGAATATCTTTCCACCTCGCATGGAAACTATACCGTATATACAACTGATTTTCGATGGTCAGGCAAACTTGCATTTCAAGCTATGAGCGCATTTTGTACACTAGTGAATCAAACGATACTAAATCGTTTAATTCAGTTCAATTCAAATCAATATGTAAGTGCATTTGTAACACCTTCAGATGTATTTAAACTACAAACTGATGCATTTATATCTCAATTTAAATCAACAACAGCTTACGGATTTTTGCTATCACTTGCCATGATACGAAACACAACTCAAAGTAACAGCTTATTCAGTGGTATGCTAACTAATTACTACCTTTCTGAATCGTTGGGTGCTATGTTTCGAATTCCAGTGTCATACGGTGATTGTATGTGTAGTTCTTCAGGCACATGCATTATGCAATCGCCAATTTACCAATTAGTCAGCGGTACGACGGCATCTGCTGATCTATTATTCTCTGTTCCAGGTCTTTATACAGGATGTTATATAATTGAATCATTACTTCAGTCTGATCTGCAATGTTTTTATAGTCAGACATGCATCAATCAACTACAATCATATTTTCAGGTATCTTCACTTATGAATGTGACAGCTCTTGATACATCATTATCGAACCAGTTTTTGGAAAACTCAACAATTGGAGATATTCTTGATCAATTAATGGTTGAAGAATGGATTAACTCAAGCATGTATGAAAATTATTACGATGAATGTAAACCATCAGACTGTAGTTATACTGTCACGTCGAAGAATAGTGCAATATACATTATTACAACCGTGATTGGATTAGTTGGTGGTTTGATTACCGTGTTGAAACTGATGGTGCCATATTTGGTTAAGTTTATTATGTTTTGTATTAAAAAATGCAAACAAAGATCTACCACTATAATACCCATAGATCAATCATAATTGATTTTTACGTTAACGCGAAACACATTGCAAAAGAAAAACTTCGATGTTCAAGGAAAACACTGAAACTGATAAATTTTCAATAGAAATATTAGAGTATGATGAATATCATGCTCTTCATTTCTTTTTATTGTTTTCACATTTCGAGATCTTTATTATTTATTTTCACATTATTCAGCTTCTGCTTTTTGCTCATTTAATCATCTTTCTCACTGTTATCATTTCATTATCTTTTTAGTTGCTTCAGTTTGTCTTGGTGATACTGCCTAGCTATTGTTCAGCTTCACATTTGTTCGTATGCAGTTTATATAGTGCCGATTTCTTTTCAATAAAAAGATCATCACACACATCACTCTTTACCTATCTTCCGAGTTCGTTACTTATAGTGCTTCCGACTTGTTATAAGGAGGAGACACTCATAAGACAAAAGAGATAATTTAGGACGTTGGTGTGACATATGAAGAAGATGATACTCACATCCACCCCTCAAGATATTAAATAGAATGTATTTTCTAGGAAAACTAGACAGAAAAAGAGTTATTAATCGGTTGAATAAGAATATAATAATAAAAAAAACCGTTTGAATGACACTGATTATGAAGAATTAATATCTTGTAAAACCATATGAGCTACCTTTTCACCGATAGCATAAGCAGGTGCTTGTGTATGTCCACTGTTGAGTAAAGGTAAAATTGATATATCAGCTATTCGTAAACCTACCACATTTCGTACACGAAGATGATTATCTACTACACCCATAGGATCATTATCAGGAGCCATTTTGCAAGTACCACCTGGATGAAAACATGTGCCAGAGAATGTTCGTACATGTTCCTTCCAGCCATCTGTATCTTTTGGATAGGGCATTGTTTTAGGCCATAGGCCACTAATAATATCTTTTGTTCCACAACCTTTTAGTAATACTTCATGACCTAAACGACAGCCTTCAGCAAGTATAGCAACATCGAGTTCATTATTAAGATGAGCATGATCAATGATTGGTTTGTCGGTTGGATCATTTGATGATAGACGAACAGTACCTCTCTGTTGTGCTGCACAAAGAAGAGTTATTAATGTGAAAACACCTTCTCCATTAACTGGATTGACTGGATGGTCATCTAAAACAAATGAGAGACGTTTATAATAACTAATATACAACAAAGTTTAATGAACTTACCAGTATGTTGAATGTGAGGTGCTCCAAAATATAATTCAGTATTCCAGAATTCAATATGAGGTTGATCTGGTAATTGTCCACTTGGATCACAGTTTGACTGATCATCATCTGTATGCTGTGATTTTGCAGCTTCCCAAATAGGATCTTGAATTGTTTTATCGATTCGTTTAAGAGCAAAGGTACCAAATGGAAATCTTGCTAAAAAACCTGTTTTATTTTCGTGCCATTCTTTAATCAATGATGTGAGAACATTTGGATCATGATAAACGAATCGATCAAATGTTAGACTTGGATCATTAACTTGATACGAAGTATATACCTAAAAAATATTCTCAAATATCATACAAATAAATTAAGAAATAATATTCATACTATTGGATGATCTAAAAGATTGTTACCAACACCAGGCAAATCAATCTTACAATTTATATTTACTTCCGAAAGATGTTTTTTACAACCAATACCAGAATGCATTAAAATCATTGGAGAATTATAAGCACTAAACAAAATATATCAAATTGCTTATTTTATATTTATTTATTAGTTTCAAAGAATTTAACTTACCCAGCACTCAGAATAATTTCTTTTCTTGCTTTGAAAATAATCGATTCGCCAGTAATATCATCATGTGTTTCAACACCAATAGCTTTATACTGACGTTCTCCATCATTTTTTTCTAAAATAATTCGATCTACGAATATACCTGTTCGAACTGTGAGATTTGTTTTTGGAAAATTGTAAACAAAACTTGCACTTGTAGAACGTATACCTTTATGCACCGTACGAATAGCATGACCGACGCCTAAAAAAATCTTATAAATAGTATCTTATTATACATTATTGCAAACCTTCATATTCTCCTTGTGCAAACATATCTGGCTTATAATCATAATCACAATCTATAAATGATTGAAGGACTTTTTCCGAAATAGATGCACCAGAATGAGGTTCAGTATGTAAAGGTCCATCAGTACCATGAACAGACATGTCTGCTTGATGCCATTTAACTGAATGAAATGTTTCAGATGCTTTGAAAAAAGGTAACATATCGTTCCAACTCCATCCAGGATTTCCCATACTAGCAATACGATCATAGTCTGCTTTAGCACCTCGACAAATCAATGTACCATTCATTGCACTACAACCACCGAGAATTCGACCTCTTGGAATTGCCATAATGTGATTATGAAAAGATTTCTGAGGTACAGTATCATAGTTCCAGTCATATTTAGATTTGATTAATGCGTCAAAGCGTGCTGGTATGTGACTGTCAATTGCATCTTCGTCACTTTAATAGCAAATAGGATAGTTGAGACATGAATATAAACTTTAAATAAACTAACCTTGGGCCAGCTTCAAGAAGACATACACTATAGTTAGCTTTTGCTTCTGCTAAACGTCGAGCGACAACTGTACCAGCTGTTCCACCACCAATTACAATATAGTCATAATCGTTGACATTAACCTCGGTCTGCGACATTTCGATATATGAATAAGAAGAAGAAAATCTATAAAATCATCATATCCAATTTTATATATGTGAACTATATATTTATTAGCCAGTCATTATAGTATAATAGTACAAAATAAAAAAAAGTGATGAATATATTATTAACTCTATTTAGTTATATTACCTACAAGTTTCATGTCAAGAATAAGAAAGAAAATACGAGGCAATATAACATGTGATAAAGTTCGAAAAGAAAAATATAGAAAGGTGAAGAAAGATAAAGTAAATATTTACAAATAACACTGCTGGTCAATAAATGAGTCGATAACCAACATAAATACACAAATACGATATTTTTGCTTTAATTTATATAATATACGTGTTTTATAAATATAAAAAAAAGGGTTAAATAAATATTATAGTTATTTTGATTAAAATAGCTATTAAATAATCAAATATCTCTCCTTCAATGTTATTTAAACGTTATATTATCTACAAGTAGAATATTGCAGAGTTTCATATTAGATCTGTTTCGTAGAAAAATGAATTAATGATCCATTTAATTATAATGAGTTGCACTTAAAAGAGGGATGAACCATATCCCCCAAACGAGAGAAACTGTTCCAATTCAAGGAGAAACGCTTTACCCACATAAAGTCAAGGGGATATTCTTTTACCATACAAGTCGAAACCATTCGAGGTCCAAACGTTGATCTACATCCCCATTTATAAGGAGAAATGGAAGATATATGAAGAGATATATCGTTGATTTCTTTTTTTACTTTAAGAGGATATTCTAGCAGATTTGGTTTTTTACCAGTAGAAATGAATGATTGTTGTGGAGAAGTGGTTCATCCATATCCTTACTCATGAGGAGAAATGGAAGAAAGAAAATAGAGATATGGATGATTTTATTTTTTCACTCTAAGGAGATATTCTAGCAGATTTGGTTTTTTATCAGCAGAAACGAATTAAAATAAGGAGAAGTGGTTCATCCATATATCCACTTATAAGGAGAAATGAAAGAATGAAAGTGAGATATGGATGATTTTATTTTTCATTCTAACGAGATATTCTAGCAGATTTGGTTTTTTATCAGCAGAAACGAACAAATTGTAAGACGAAATGGTTTATTTATATCTCCACTCGTAAGGAGAAATGGAAGATATATCAAGAGATATATGAAGAGATATATGGTTTATTTCCTTTTTCACTCTACGAGGATATTCTAGCAGAGATGGTTTTTTATCAGCAGAAATGAACAAATTATAAGACGAAATGGTTCATCGATATCTCCACTCATAAAGAGAACTGGAAGAACGAAAGTGAGATATGGATTATTTTATTTTTCGTTGTAAGATGATATTAGTGTTATTGTAAGTTGTATTAGAATATGATAGTTTTCGTAGCGGATTAATAAGTCTTTTGTATCAGTACAAAATGAAAATATTCAATGAACAGGGAATGGTTATTTTGATTTTCCCCATTGCTTGCAATAGAACACATTCTGTGAATATTACTTAAGTGATATGGTTCAATTCATCACTTGAAAATAACACATGTCAGTGAAAGTCGAAAGAATAGAAGAAGAACGCATGAAGATAACGGAAGCAAAATCACCATACGAGCATAGATGTAAAAGTAAAGGAGTAAATCCTGTATGATTATATATGAAGGAAAAAAGAAAAATATCATATAGATATATATGAGAGGAAGTAAATTTAAAATAGTTAATGTTGAAAATTTAATATGTTTTGGAAATTTTCGATCTTCATTCGATCATTATCAACCTTTCAACACAACCTGATGTTACAAACAAAAAAGATGTTTATTCGAAAATATATGAAAAAACACGAATAGTCATTATGCATTCTTTATCATATAATAATAAGTATAAATTATCTTATATATAATCATCATTCAAACAAAAGATCATAAACATGAACATGAATGATTCTTAAAGTCATTCCACCACTAATTATACTCAATTTGTTTAATACTACTATGTATGAATAATGTATGAAAAATAATAATAATAATCTTGAGATTTTTATCAATTTAAATGAAAAGTAAGTTTTGTAGTTTTATGTCGAAAATTTTGTAATATAATGTAACTTGTCGATCTTTATTCAATCATTATCAACCTTTTACCACAACCTTATAACAAGATGTTACAACCGATCTTAAGATTATTGATATTCATACATTATTGATACATAGTAGTATTAAACAAATTGAGTATATTTAGCTCGGGAATGATTTTAACAACATTCATGGTTATGATTATGATGTTTATGTTTGAATGATGACTACATATAAGATAATTTATACTTATTACTATTATATGATCTTTTTCGCCTTTTCATATATTTTTTCGTGTAAGATCTTTTTGTGTTTGTATCATCAGGTTGTGTTAAAAGGTTGATAATGATCGATTGAAGATCGAAAATTTCCATTAAAATTAAAATTAAATTTTCAAGATTAACTACATTACTTACATTTTCATTTTACTAATTTCAAATCTCAAGATTATTATTATTTTTCATACAAATACTGTTGATATTTCAATAAATGTCACAGCAATACGAAAAT